TTTTAACATATATGGTGAACTAAAGGAAGAAAATAAAAACATAGTCCTTATCTGGGCACCATCACACTGTGGTATCCTGGGTAACGAGAGAGCCGATGCTGCTGCCAACTCTGCCCGGCGTCAAGGAACTGCACAAACCACAATAATTGGTGCTATTCCTCGAGAAGATTGGACACACCAACTTGCCTGCTCCTTTCAAAATAAATGGAACCTTGAATGGGAAATGAGTTCGGCAAAACTTCAGGAAATAAAAACAACATGTATCAAATGGAACACATCAAACAGAAAGTCTAGACGAGAAGAAGTGATACTATGTCGCCTAAGAATTGGCCACTGTGAGTTTTCCCATGGATACCTCCTGCGAGGATTAGAAGCTCCAACTTGCACACATTGCCTAGTACCCAGAACAGTAAAACATATACTATTAGAATGTAGAAGGTACACCAATATAAGGAAAAAATTTCAAATGGGAACGGAAATGAAAACCATTCTGCAAGATGGGGAGAATGAAATAGAAAAACTATTCAAATATCTAAAGAATATTCACTATTATCAACGAATATAAAATGGAAACATTAAGCCAATGACCCTTAGGGGTAGAGGCTAAATAAACAAATAAAAAAAAATAAATAAATAAATATATAATGCTTAATCTTTATAATTTTTCACACAGGGGGAGGGGAGAGAGGAGAGACAGCCTTCATAACATTGGTACATTTCTAGAACTTTTTCAGCTAAAAATTAGTAATGTAAAGAAATTTGATTTCTTAGTGTTTGCCACCTCAAATAAAAATTAAATTTTTTACAGTCCGACTAGTTTTCCTCGGAAAATTTTATAAGAATATTACGTGAAAATTGAAAGGTGATTGAATTATAAAATCCTAGGATATTATTCCGTGGTAGAAACCCCTTTTTATCAAATTATTAACATTCGCCTGGAATTCGTAAATAGTTTCATTTAATTGTAGCCTGCAAATATTTTATTTACGAAAATTCTCAGAAATGGGGTGTTTTTATTACTAAATGTAACTTTTATTTAAATTGCCATTTATATTCAAAGATAATAATACGTGTCAGCAAATAGCCCGTGGTATAGACCACTTTTTATCAAATTATTAACATCCAGCTGAAACTCAGTAAATAATTTCATGTCATTGTGACCTAGAAATATTTGATTTACAAAAATTCTCTGAATTGAGACATTTTCAATCTAGTCGGCAAACTTTGTCTATTTAATCAGGTACTAAAAACTCGTAAATACTCATTTGCATTCCACTTGAATTGTAAGATAGATACCTGGAGCACAAAATCGAGAACAAAGGTTGACTTCAAAAATAGTGAGCTGTTTGGCGTCACCTAGAATACCAAATTGTCATAATAACGAGATTGTATAGGCCAAATGGTCCAATATTTTTGTAGGGCACGTATTTTATCGATTTTGTGACAAAATTATTTTATGATCCAATTGGAAAGCAAGTGAGTATTTACGAGTTTTTAGTACCTAATTAAAAAGACAAAGTTTGCCGACATCTAGATTGGAAATGTTCAAATTCAGAGAATTTTTGTAAATAAAATATTTCTAAGATACGATGGATGTTAATAATTTGATAAAAAGTGGTCCTTACCATGGACTATATGTTGATTCATATTATTACTTTTGAGTATAAATGACAATTTAAATAAAAGTAACATTTAGGTATCGATAAAATAGATACATACCTACTATTAGACTCTTGTCTACTCAGCTAGTCGACTTTTCAGAATCGATTTTAGTTTACACATTTTGTTTATTCATGTAGAGTATTTATTATTGATTTTAATTTTTTTACTGTAAATTATTGGGAGGAGGGACGATATTCTCGCCACATCAACATTTTTATTGGGGAGGGACGATTGCTTCCCCTCGCCAAGCTGTCTACATATAAATAGAATAATATTAATATAAAATATGTCGACCCCTTGACGATTGATTGACAAGTTTATTAGAAATAAGAATAATATTCCAAGTGAAATTCTACCAATATCAATAATATGGCTGATATGTAGGTCTTTGGAATAATTCTATTGCTAGATTTTTAGAGGATTATTTATAATTTCCATTAAGTAACACTTTGGCGTTACGTAACACCATTAAGTGGCGGATAGGGCCGAAAGGCCGATATATCGGTATATCGCTCTTTTATCGGCTAAAATGTGTATATAATTCAATCTCTAGATGATTTCTTGATTTATTCGTTTATTCGACGATAAGTAGGATAACCAAGAAATGAACAAAAAAAAAAAAAAAAACTCCCGAGAGGCAGATATATCGGCATATCGGTCTTGAAATATCGGTATCGGGAAAACTTTCTCTATCTGTCGATTTCTAGTCTGTAGAACGGTCTATTACTATGAAAATCCAGATGAATAAGTGTTCGTAAATTCTTACACATTTTTTTCTTTTTTTCCTCCCCTTCCTTGTCTTTTAGTCTATACGGGGCTTTCTGGTCCGGGTGATGGAGCACAGATTGAGGCTAGTTAAAAATCTCCATCCTCAGGATACGAATCAGCGATTATTTTATCATCTAATCTATGGTTTTCAGGTTGCTGGACAACGCGTGTTTCTCACACACGTTAGCCCGATCTAGTGTTGCTCAAAATCAGACTTCGTCTTGTACTTTGCTAGACCAAGACCAAGGCCACCTAACTGTTGCAAACCAAGACCAGGACTATTAAAAAAAAATCGATTTTTTAAAATAAAAATTAAGGCAAAATAGTTACTAATACTTGACAATCTTAGTTACGATATGTTAATAATTGGTATAAATTGTATACTTTTGCATTTAACTCCTCTAATTTTTCAATCGGGCTTAGTTAGGTTTCTCCTATCTAAAAAAAATTACAGTAATATCTCTACAGTAATAAGCTAATAATTAACTGCAAGACTCTTGCGCAAGACCAAGACCATGACCAAGACTCGTCTCGGTCTCGCATTTGGGCAACACTAGCCCGATCGGCCACACCGCCCCCGTAAATTCTTCCATCATAATTTCATTTATATCAACTCCCGTTGCCTCTACCGAAAGAGAAGGCCACTAATAACCGCTATCATTTTAAAAGGTCACCCCTACTAAACGGGCCCGAGAGTTATTCCGACATATTTATTTACCCCTCGGAGCCAGATGAAGGGAATGTAAATGCACTAAATAAACCCGATAGACCTCGGAGACCAGTTTCGGTAAGGACCCGCTGAGAACTGGCCACCAAATCAGCTGGCCCAATCGCTCGGCCTGTATTAAGCCGTCCCTCACACCTCGAGCAGCTATATCATCAGCCCCGAGCTCTCTCCTGTCTATAATCCATCGCAATTAGTTCACTATCGATCTTCAAAACATCGATTAGCCACGAAGCCGTCTGAAGTTGGTCTTAACAAAATTTTTATTTTTTATTTTTATTTATTTAACATTTTATTTACTACTTGTAATAAAAAATTAAAATATATTAAGTAAATTTGGTAACAGAAATAAAAACATGAACAGCCTGTTGAGAAAAACTACCAATGGTAGCACTCTAAAAACAAAAGGTATTTACATTAGAGGATCCTCGAGGCCATCTTCTATTCGACGCCTTCGGAGGCGTTATAGGAATAGAAGAGGGCGCAAGTTAGAGACGAGCGGGAATGGTGGTTCTGGTTTAATCTGGACAGTTGGTATCTGGATTGGGCTAAATCGGAAACATAAGGAACTTTAAGGGTCATTATGGATTATTTTAATGTGACAAGCGAAAGGAGCATTGAGACTTTTCCGAGGTTTTGGATTGTAAGATTGGATACGAGACTATTTGCTGGTTAGTGTGGCCCAAGGATTCAAATACCGTAAGTCCAATTAGGTCTATTGTAGTCATGTTAAATTAAGTCATTTTGTAATTTCGGGGAAGCTTAGAGGCGTAAGTCTAGTAAAGTGTTGGAGTAGTCGGAAACGTCGAGCTGGTTTCTTGTCGTGTCAGTTGGTGTATGGAGGCTATCAAGTTGACGTTTGTCCAAGTTGAAGTCAAGGTATTAGGGATTTGCTCAACCAGGGAAAAGCTGGGGTATTATTCAGGATATGTGGGACCTGAGGTTATAGGTTTTAGTGAAGGGTTAAAGGTTGATTTGAAGTTGATTTGATAGGATTTATATTTTCGTTTTTAACATTCTTCACAGGCTTGTGATGTGCGATTGAAGAGTTTGGGATGCAATGGTTGGGTCCTTTATTAACGGATAGGGGACCACATGTATCATCGGCATACGTTGGTAAATAACCGTTGTTAGGATGGGTTGGAATGTCAGCTGTTATAAACTGTGTAAAGAGATAGGTTCCAAGGATACTACTTGAGGAAACACAGCGGACTGGGGAGGAAAAGAGGGATGGAATAGCATAATGTGAATGATTTGGAGTATCTATCAGTTAGTCAGGAACGGATAATGAGGGAAGTTATGTGGATGTAGGAATTTACGGAGTTTGTAAGTAATCCGGGTGCCAGACTGATCATAAAGTAACCAAATTTAAAGGATAGGTATGGCAATGCTCTTTTTTTCTCAGTTAGGAGATACGGAATTTGAAAAACTCCATTACTGAAAAATAGATTAAAAACAGTTTTTATTTTATTCCGCCCACTTTTTATCACATTATTAACATCCATCTAAAACTTTTTCTTTTTTTTTTTTCCTACCACCCAGGAATTTCTTGATTACAAATACAATATATATATATATATATATAAATGTATATATACATAAATTTTCAATTACCTTTTATTGCCCAAGGGTATTTTAAGGTAAGAGGGCTATGCACGCTGTATGCGTTCTTTGCATCTGTGGCCAGAGGCCTTTTATTATACCACTGGGCGTGGAGGGACCGCCCTGTACATCTAAAACTTTGTAAATAGCTTCATTTTATCTTAACCTACAACTATTTTACTTACGGGAATGGAGCCTCTTCAATCTGTAAATTGGTAACCTTTAGATACTTTTTTTTTCTTTCTTATTGAGCAGGCACATCACCAATACAAAGGATAAAATAGGCCTAATAAACAAGAAAAATGTAATATAAAAATTAAATTGTCAAAACTGCCCCAAAATCTACACTGGTGAAACATCCAAGCAATTAGGGACCAGAATTTCACAACATACTACTAACTGTAAAAATACAAAAAACATAAACACAACAGCTTTAGCACATCACAGCATAAATTTGCCTTCAATAAACCACAGATATTAGGCACAGAACCAACAACACCAATAGGAAATTTTCTTGAAGCCACACACATCACAAAAAACAATAGAACAACAGTCAATTATAAAACAGACACTAAACATTTAGGAACTCATTATACGAACATATTAAACAAAATTAAAATTTGATAGAAATGAAATTGCAGATACATAAAATAAACATTAACAACAATAGTATAAAAATAGTCAGATCCAAAGGTCAATTGTATTTCACTATGGCAGACACCCAATTATTAGTCTAAAAGCAAGATGTTGCTCTAGATGTTATATTATAGATTTTTATAACATGAACTAGAAACTGACGATGGAGCACATCATTATTATTTTTAAGGTAATTAGATATTTATTATTTATTGTAACAACAAAATTCCGACATGTAATGTAACATGCACTATATCTTAACTCAAAAATTTTTTTTAACTTGTTAACACGTAACTTGGATAATACAAGAAATATATTCAATATATTGCTAATTGGAAGTAATTATTGCCAAATAATTAAGAATATTATAAAACTTCCCAGAAAAAAGAAGAATTCTTTTTTATTATTTTATTGAAATTTACAACTGTAAACATATATACAACCAGTAAATTTGCTATAGGAATATATTACATGAAGGTACTTGTGAAGATGCTACCCATTGGTAACACTTCAAAGATAAATTAATTTAGTAGGTCCCTCGGCCATCTTTTTTTCAGACGCCTCGGAGGGTTGTCAGGAATTGTGTTGGATAAAAAGGTTACAAACTAGAGGATTGGGGTTACCAAAGAGTTTGGAATGAAAAGAGATATATCTAGTCCAAGTTTTCCACAAGAGGAATGTTGAGGTCTTTATGGATAATTTTATTTGTTACATAATAAGGAGCATTTAGGATTTTACGGTGGATTTCGGATTGTAATGATTGGATACGGGAAGAATTTGATGTTTTTGTAGAACCCAAAAGCTCAACACCGTATGTCCAAATGGGGATGATGGTAGTGTAAATGAGTTTTTTGTAGAATATTGGAAGTTTAGAGCGTTTGTCAAGTAAGTGTTGTAGTAGTCGGAATCTGTTGGCAGTTTCTTGTCTTTTAAGTCTAGTATGAGGATTCCAGGTAAGGCGTTTGTCAATAAGGAGTCCTAGGTAACGGATCTGTTCGACAGGGATCAGTGGAGTATTTTAAAGGATATGGTGGGACAGGATGTTGTAGGTTTACGGCAAAGGGTAAACGTAATTTGTTGTAACCTTTGTGAACTCTCATTTGTTTTCCACTTTAAATGTAAGGTAACTTTATCGCAAAATCGAGAAAAAAGCTGGCCATACAAAATATTGGGTTCCTCAACATGTCAAAATGACGAGGTTATATAGACCAAACAGCCCAATCTTATCGTAACCTGCAAGTTTTAGACAAATGTTAATAATTTGATAAAAAGGGAACTATTTCTACTATTATTACTTATGTATGTGTTTTTTAATAGTTTATTTATCTTTAAGTTATTTTATTTTATATACTTTTTGATTATTCTTTAGTTATTTTCCTTTTATTTATTTTTTTGTGTGCGTGTGCATATTATGTGAATGTTATCTTACCTCCCTATAACCAATGTCCATGTGACAGATTGTTATATTATTCAATAAATAAATTTTTAAAAAACTATTATTACTTAATATTTATTTTTTTTAAAAAAAAGGTGTTTTCCAATGAAATCTGGGATTCGAAATTTTTCTCTTTTGTAATCATTTCTTTTTTTATAGTTCTTAATAAAGTTTCATTAAATGAAAAATAAACTGTAAATGACCTTAAATTAGAGTTGTAATTTGTCTTAAATGAAGCACACATTATTCTAATGTGTCGTTTGTTTGAGTAGCTATGAAAAAAGTCATTTTTTGATCGATTTTTTAGCTAATTCCACAGAATATAAAAATAAAATATTTTTAATAATAAGAGTTCTGTAAAATTTTTACTTGAAAAGTAGCAAAGGAAAAACTTCTAGTTCTAAAAGAACTGAAAACTATTGACAATTCAACTTGCAGTGATACGGTAATGTTTTAAAAATAAAAGTTTTTTTGCGTTTTAAGCCTAGAATATTTAGAAAGTGCTACCATTGTGTATAATGTTGCCCGAAACCCCTTAATTGTTGTAAGGCCAAGACAAGTCAGCTAAGTAAAAAGATCCTAAACTGAAGTAAATAGATGGTAACAATTGTTGTAGTGTAATGTATAATATATGCAAATGTGAATGCACTTCTACAGATCTGCAAGAGTGATTGAAAGAAAAGGAAAATGGATATAATATGAAATAATAGACATAAAGGAATGTGGAGAAAGAAAAGAATAAAGAAAACCAAAAAATTAAATAAATTTCGAAGAATTAAATTTTTATATTATTAAATTATTATTCTATTTTATTTATTTAATTTTTTGGTTTTCTTTTTTCTTTTCTTTCTCCACATTCCTTTATGTATATTGTTTCATATTATATCCTTTTTCCTTTTCTTTCATCTCTGAATATAGCCCTGAAGATGTCCTGCAAAGTCGGGTTGAAACGTTGGCTTTGAATAAAATAGTTTTACCACTATTTAGCCTATTTATGACCGCCACCCCGGACCATCTCCTTCCTTTATAATGCAACGGCCAACTATTAAATATTCAAGTAAATACATATAGCGCCTACAGTTTTAACTTTCACTTCTCCTTTTTCTGAAAATATTTATTTTTGCTAAGAATAGGGTGGTAAGTGAACGTTGTGTGTCGCACGCAACAGATTATTTCCAATCAGTATGGGTATAAAAACGTTTGGTGGCAATTTTAGTTTGAATAGCTTTATTTCAATAGTCGGTATTTTAGTTTTTTAATGATTTTTTTTTATAGTTTGTTGACATGACATAGAAATAACAATTTTTAATGTTGAGATTGTCGGATGGATTGCACTTATAAAAAAAAAACCTTAAACGCCCCATATGTGTTTGTTTTAAGTGATAATTTTCTAATATTATAAAATAAGGCTCTTTTTATTTTTTCACCATATTTATTTTAATATTCATAGCTACGTTTCGGCCGTAAGCCATCTTTTACATATTTGTCACTTAAATTAATAAAAGGTCTAACTGCATTATTCTGTATTCCACTAATAGCGTTTAATTCTTCTCTAAATAATTTCCAACTCTTTAATCTTTGACCCATTCAGCCTCTGACTGGTCATGTTCAAATCCATATGTGCTTGTTTTTTTATTTGCAATCAGTCCGAGTATGAAAACGTTTGGTGGAAAGTAGAAAAATTTCCATAGTCGGTATTTTAATTTTTTAAATGATTTTTAACTTTCACTTACATATATATGTAATATATACTAAGGGTAAGTATTGCGATTGAGAAAATTTTTGAATCTGAGTTTTCAACGGAAATACACGTTTCGACGTGCCCTGAGTCGAAATGTCCAAGTCCCGAAAAACGGTCTGTGTGTCTGTGTGTTTGTATGTTAGCAGTCTAGCTCAAAAACGAAAAGTCCTACGAAACTGATATTACGTATTTAAGATAGGTATATACCTTAGATGTGACGGCAACTTTTTCCTTAAAATTGGCTAACCGGAAGTGCCACTTTATATCAACGCTGAAACACATTTTCACAATTTTCTCAAAAACGGCTCTAACGATTTTGATTAAACTCAATGTATTTAAAAATTTATGGAATCACCTAAACCCCTCCCCCCCCAAAAAAATCGTTAATATCGGATAATTAGGAGAAAAGATATGGTCTCTAGTTTTTTCTTTGAAGAGGCAAAAATTTGGATAAATTTAAAATATACTTTTTTAATTGTTGAGACTAAAAAAACTTTTTTTCTACAGATATTTAATAAAGTATCTTTCCTAAGAACATTTTTCATAAGAAATAAGTACCTAAAGTTATACCTTTATTCTCAGTTCTATATTTCAACACTGCAATCACCACCACCTCCGGAATCAACTTACTCATTTTCTGTATAGATGACTTTTTCAACTAAAAATATCACTAAAATGACATCACTCAAAAATTTTGAAATTGGAGTTAGTCATTCTGAGCTTTATAAAATTTATAAAAGCAAAGAAAGTTTTGTGGTTTATAAAAGCAGATGGAGTGACTAGATTTTTATTGCCTGTCGTCGATATATTAAATAGATATTTTGTAATTATAATGGTTTTAATGACTTGTTATCTGTAAGCTTTAAGCTTTAGCCCCGTTTAAAATGCACTTCAAAAAAATTTATAATAGCCAGGCATTGCCAGAAAATAATTTCTATTCATAGTAGATCGGTAAGTGAAAGTTGTGTGTTGCGCGCACCAGATTTTTTTTATTATAGTTTGTTAACACGAAAATGAAGTAACAATTTTTAATGTTGAAATTATCGGATAAATTACACTTATTAAAAAAAACCTTAAACGCCCCCCTCGACTAGACAAAAGCCGAACAGCCCTCCCCGCTGCCTCAGACTATTAACACCTTTCATAGCCGACTGTAATTGATTACCTTGAAATAGATAGAGGATCTATAGCCGGACAGAAAGGAGAGCTGACTTGCACTTCTCGGCTCTAATGTACGCAGAGTTTCTCAGCTATTGTAAAGTACCCAGCGATTGTTCTTCCGTGCCTCGTTTATCTAGATATTGATGGGGAAGGCAGGTGTGGCCAAAACACCTTCTGACAAATAGGTTCAGCACGTGGTCACTTTCAAGAAGAGGATCTTCTCAGGTAGGTTGTGAAAACATCGCCAGCCAGGCCAAAACAATGGCCGGTCTGTAGCGTTTGTTTTCATTATTAATTTTTTTTAAATTAATACTAAAAAAAATAGAAAAAAATATTCCTTTTTCAACTCGGTCGAATTCAATATCGTTATTAGTTACTGTATTTTTTTTCTTACACTAGCAGATCCAAAGCGGGCAGGAGAGGAGAAACTTTTTCGCTTCAGCATACAACTTTCACTTACTACTCTAATTTGAGTATTAATTATTTTCTGGCAAATTTGGGCTATTTGCAAAAAGTCTTTATATCAAAAAGTGCACTTTAATGGAGCTAAACTTTAT